CTGGAGAATAGTGCTTTAACGAGATATATGCTGCATTCCACCCAACACAAGATAGCAATCCTGCAACCACACTGTGCAGGTGCTGTTATAATATGTAATCTAACCATAGCTATCGAAAGCATCTACAGGTTTCTAAAAACAATGGGGACGAAGGATAAAATGCCATAAAATAAGAAACTTTGTCACCGCTGAAATGTCTTCATGCTGAGCCATTTTGGCGCCCTTCTCTTCGTGAAGCAGACGATGCTGTGCTGATCGCCGTTTTATGCCATAAGTCAGGAGTGCTATGTGCATTTTAGAGACAGAGTTTACAGCCATGTGACAATCATATCACATAGTCATCACATCATATAGACAATCACATCATATCCTGTTTTCTTCCAACCGAGTAGTACTCTTTTATCAACCTCAAAAGGAAAAAAGGTGAGTAACCCAGACCACGGTTTGAATTCAGAACAAATAAGTTTCAAATTCGAAGGTCGACCGACTGAACAATCTCATATTTGAAGCAACGTGGGGCAAATTATTTGCTCAAGGGAATTCGTGAATAAGACAAAGATTGCTCTCGAGCGGAATCGTATCGAAAGAGGACCGCTTAGACAACTGTGCCAACACGCCAGACAAAATGCTATAGCTGTATTCAAATATTCCCCTAGGCTTTCAAAAACACGAGGGCGATACGATTATGCTCTTTAAGCCCGAGTATGTGACATGCTACTGATCACTGTTTAATCGGCAGGAATGAAAACTAATTTTTGTCATTAAATTCAGCTTTGAGATAAGTAATACTGCAACATCATGTATTTACTGCATTCAGCACAAAACAAGTTTCTTCATTCATCAACAATCGACGCAGTTACAGGAACGAGGATTCAAAACAAGCAAACAAACAAAAACACATACCTAGACTTGAGTCTCAGGCGTCGCGTGCGGATGAGTACCTGATGAATACGCCGAAGACGGCGCCTGCATTTGCTGCGTATGAACCGTGGCCAGTAGAGCAACTGCTCATTGATCTGCTCCAAGGCTTCGTCGGTGTTCAGCGAAAGCTTAACCTTCTCCCACAGATTCTTTGGAAAGTGACTTCTTTCCACTTCCTTTTTGTAAAGATAGAACCGACCTAAATTACAATAAACCTAAATATCATAAACATAACACAACAAATTTAAATGATGGAGTAAAGGCTAACTAGGGTAACGAAAATGAAGGGAAAAGATTGAAATTGTCGCTCTGCGCTTGAAGTGAATTATCAAAGAACGCTGAATTTAAAAAAAATATAAAGATGCGCAAATTAAATCACGATGACAAATAATAACACTAAATCAACGAAACAAAACTACAGATAAAATGACGATTAAACAAATAAATTAAATGGTGAGAACAAGTAAATCTGTCACAGTCGATCAGACAAAGACAGAATCACGACAGAGTGCCAACCATATGAAGATTATATGTCATGCCTTGACTTCTTTACTAAATCTTAGATTGACGAACACTAAACATAACCAGCTACAGTATAATGTGATAAACGCTGTTTTAATACAAGTATTATTTCAAAATTCGGAAACCAGTTAATCGGTTGCGAATGAGAAAAGACAACCTGAGACTTTGGCTAGGCTTCATCTTCATCTTCCAAAACCGCTTCTTCTTTCGGGTTGCGGAGGCAGATGCATCAGACAGTGCTTCCAACGTTCCCGATCCTGTGCCAGAGTCTCAGCTTCGGCAAAAGACAAATGCAG